GTTCCCCCCCCCCCCCCCTTAAGCAGAAAAACCACTTCTGAATTTGTACATAATTTTACCATTCGTTTGGTAACAGTTAAATTTTATTTCAGTTCAGTTTTATTTTAACGTTTGGTAGTCCATTTCCATCGTTTAGTAGCCGAAAACATCGTTATAATTAAGAAAAATAGCGTAACTATAAAGTTGGCTTATTTAAGCTGGAAATACATTTTCCATGTATCATATGCAATTTTAACTGTAACAATCCATTTGGTGGTCGTCTTTTAACATTTGGTAGTTTATTCCTCACGTTTGGTAATAAACAATACAGTAGTAATTAAGGAAAATATAATTACGTGACTATGAAGTTGCCCCCTGCCTCTCTCCCCCTTAACAAGGAGACTGTCTATACGCGCCGCGTTAGATTTGGCTGATCTTTATATATATGTAGTAATCTCTTTTCTGTAAACACAGCTTGTATGAGCCAATGAGCACGAGTTTACGAGAAATCGAAGTTGAAAGTTTTCGGTGCGCCTAGAGTAGCTTAAATAGGAGCGTAATTCAAGTTGTCAGCGTGGCGCATCGAGTAGAGAGTGCAGCTAGAACGCTCGACATTATGCGTTCGATTCCGGGTTATTCCAATTTTTTTTTTTTAATATTTTCTGAAATATGAAATAAAATAAATTATTAATATATTAATTAGCCAACTATCCCAGTATTATTATCGTTCGCATTTTTTAAATAGAATTGTACGAAAAATAATGAGATACGTCTATCAACGAATAAATTAATTATTTTTTTAAAGTTCGGGAAGGGATTTTATTTCAACATTACGTTACTAGTCGTTATATTACTTTGGAATGCTTGCCTGATAAAGTTTTAAGATTTGTGTGGGAACGGCCTAACAGTGGTATCGTTTTTGCTACCCATTTTTTTCATGCTAATTTTATAGTGGAGGGGTGATAGAGAAGAACTTTCCGCAGATAGCAAAAACGATACCACTATTGGTACCGATTGTACCGATATGTACAAAATCCATAATGATATGTACAAAAAGAATGTTTCTCAGGGAGGCAGGGGGGAGAGAAAGGGGGAAGTAGAGAAAAAGGGAGAGAGGGAGGGGAGAGGAAGAGGGAAAGGAAGAGAGATAAAAAGTGGAAGAAAGGGGAGAAGCAAGGATAAAAATATATTATTTTAATTTAAAAACCAAATAATATTTGAAATTTTTTTAAAAATAATGAATTAAAATAACTAAAATAATAAACACTGTTAACCAAAACTAACCACTGTTAGGCCGTTCCTATAGGATACAAATCTTAAAACTTTATCAGGCAAGTAATCATTCTAAAGTAATATAACGACTAGTAACGTAATGTTGAAATAAAATCCCTTCCCGAACTTTAAAAGAATAATTTATTTATTCGTTGATAGGCGTATCTCATTACTTTTCGTACAATTCTATTTAAAAAATGCGAACGATAATAATACTGGGATAGTTGGCTAATTAATATATTAATAATTTATTTTATTTCACATTTCAGAAAAATTAAAAAAAAGTTGGAGCAACCCGGAATCGAACGTACTATCGAACGTGACGTTGAGCGTTCTAGCCGCGCTCCCTACTCACTACGCCACGCTGACTACTTGAATTTCATTTCTATTTAAGCTACTTTAGGTGCACCGAAAACTTTCAACTCCGATTTCTCGTAAACTAGTGCTCATTGGCAACAGTCATATGAGCTGTGTTTACAGGAAAGGGATTACTACAATATATATAAAGATTAGCTAAATCTAATCGTGCGTAATTTTATCTATTACCATTCGTTTGTAGTCCTTTTAACCTCTTAGATACTGTACGCCTCTATAATGGTTTTCGTGTGTCATCTTTTTGAACGGTACGCCACTATAGTGGCTTTCGCGTATATCATCTTTTTGAACGGTACGCCACTATAATAGCTTATTTTTATTTCTAATAAATTATAATTTATTCACCTGAAACTGTATTATAATGTACTTACGTAGTGAAAAGCATTACCAGACACAAATCGCAATGTCGCATTGTTTTTGCGCAGTCCGCGTTGAACTTTGCCGTACAGAGATACAGCTCCGCGGAAAGTCCTGCCGTAGCTAAGAGGTTAACGTTTGGTAGTCCGTTCTCGACATTCGATAGTACACCAAACAAATTGTAATAGTAAATTGCATACGATACATGGAAAATGGATTTCCAACTTAAATAAGTTAACTTTATAGTTACAGTTACAATTATAATTTCGAGTATTAAATGTCGGGAATGGACTATTAAACGCTATTAAACAACCGCCAATTATTATAGTTACGTTATTATTTGTTATGATGGGGGGGGAGGGGGAGGGGCATCTTCACGCAGCTCGTTTGAAGCTTCTGCTAACTTTTTGACGTCTTGTCATTGTGTCTTACAGCTTTGCTCTTTAGTAACAGTAACCTTTTATTGTATCTTACAGCTTTGCTCATTGGTAACAAACACCTCGTGCTCCCCGGGCTATTATCCACCCTCGAATACAAACAACGACAATGGCACAGACCTGCCACCTCCACTGCCATCGCGTAAATCCTTGTCCATGCAAAGTCTCTCTCCACCGCCTTTGCCTCCTAGACCACCACCTGTCACAAACACGCACAATACAGCCCAGCTGGAGCTGGATCGACATCTGCTGACTCATTTAACGCCTTCAATCGCCAGTCACGGTATTCCTAACTCTGTAAGTAACCTAATTTCCAAATACTATCTCGTTAATATTTGTTTTACACACACACCCACACACACACACACGCACGCACGCACACACACACACACACATCCACACCCACCCACACATACACACACCCACCCACCCACCCACCCACCCACACACACACACGCACGCACACACACACACACATACACACACACACACTTGACGTCATAACTAATAAATGTGCAAGTTTTATCTGCAGAAGCAACATGTTGTAGCATTATGTGTTATTATTATAAGTTATATTTTTTAAATTACGGTTACAACGTTTGTTCTTTTTTTTTATTAACGGTAATATAATAACATTTTTGGATAAAGGTAAGAAATATAGTCGTTACTGTGTATACTTACGTGTAACGATTTGTTTCAAACTACATTTAATGGTTTAGGAGTTAGGCTTAAGAGTTACTTATCCTGCTAACATAGCAGAGTACGGCCCAAAACTCTACTCTGAGTCAGTGAATTTTATTATATACTGACTTTCAAGAGTGGATGTAACACAAGATGAAACAGGACATTAGATGCTGATTGTATTAATATCTTTGTCAGCGGTTTATTGATTGGTTTGTATCGCTGTAATATCATGGCACCAACGTTGACTCCATATACACACTTTAACATTGCCATTATACCAGACAATGTTGCTATTTTTAATACAATCTATATTTATTGTCAAAGTATAATATAGTAAATATATATTTATAAATAAAATATAAAAATAAAGAAAATATAAAGAAACACAGAACACATTTGATGGCAAACGTTTTCAGCTCAGAATGTGCAAGTGTAAAATAATATAATGTAGTGTAAAATAGTCAATCAACGCTATATTTATCTTTTTTCTTCTAGTAGAAAATGATCTTGTGTTCACTGCGTCCAATATCACTTTCAGTACTTAAAAGATATATATATATGATCTTGTGTTCACTGCGCCCAATATCACTTTCAGTACTTGAAAGATATATATATATATATATATATATATATATATATATATATATATATATATA